ATGATAGTAAAATTTGTGTATACACATGGACATTATATGGTTGTACACATTTTAAAACTAGCAAAAATATTCAATTAGATAGTGTGATATTATGGTAATCTGTACACATATTTCTGCTATCTCACTTCTAAATCAAAGTACACGTCTTGAAACTTGTAGATACAGATGAGAAATATTATACCATGGTAAGAATGTATACATATTGCTACAATTATATTTCAAAGAAGAATAGTTTTTACCTCTTAAGGTCAAACAACAGTATACATTTGAATCATGTCATATATTACTCAAATCATATATAGATGAGATGTGATCCATTTTAATTTGGTTGTTGCAGAAATGAAAAGATTATATACTAGTAAAGGTACAAATCTTATTTAAAATTTTCAAATGTACAATGTTTTAGTTATATATTTGTACATCATTTTACATATCTATATGAACAAAATGGTGCGTCTAACCTGGTTGTACATATATATTAGATACCAAAATATCCACATCGATGTTTACATACAACAAGTACTCATGTGTACATATATGATATCTCATGTTTTTAATGACTTTTAGCATTTCGTTTTGTGTTAACATTATTGTGAGTTCATGAAGTCGTAGATGTTTAGTTAATTAGATAGAAAACCTACTAAAAATGTACACAATAATTTTGATGTATAATACAAATTAGGTGTACACATGTACAGTTTGAATGTAATGTACACACGATTTTTTTTTCATTAATGTTGCAAAATTACCAAAATGACCTCATCTTCTTCCTTAGCCATTTTCGACCAGAAACCCTAATTTCCGTCTAAATTGCCTATTTTCCATGATTCTTTACATTTTTAACTTGTTTTTAATGTATTTTGTACCCAGATATGTTAGCTTTCAATCCTAATTCATGGATTTATCTGAAAAGTTTGAAAAATGTGATTTTTTGGTTTCAAATTTGTTGAACGATTTGTTCCAAATCGTCACATTTGAGTGTCCCCTTCTTAAAAACGATGTCTGATTAGGGCTAATCAAGACGTACAACGGCAAATTCTCAGAGTGGTATGTTAAAAGAAATTGAAAAAAAAACTGATGAGATTTAACGGCAGTTTCTTGAGTAATTCTGTAAAAGTATTTTTTGAAAAAAATAAAAAAGATTTTAGAAGGGTTGTGATGAAACCCCATCAATAAAATAAAGAATATATATAAAACTTAGTTAGTGTATGGAACTAGTTAGAAACTTATTTAGTTAGCTTTTAACTATAAGATGAGCTTAGTTAGATAAAACTACCTTAGTAGTAAGAACTGCCCCATAGTGTAATAATAAACTTAAAACTGTCCTAGAGTGTAATATTTTCTATAATAAAAACCAATAAGAAGATCCAGTTCAACATGATTAGTGTCTAGAGCTCAAAAACCTGTAAAAATATATTTTTTATAAAATGTAATTGGACAGCATTGAACCTCAGCCCCTTTACATTACATCGTCTCGACTGTCCCGACCATTACACTACGATCAATAATAGGAAGTTTGATGCCCTTTAAATATATAACGAAATTTGGAACTTAAAGCAAGATTTTAATCCAAGACCGACGTTGTTATAGAGATTCAAAATAAACTAACACATCTATTTACATATAGATAATTAAAGATTTTCATATAAAAGTTCCATGTTTACTTAAACTTCTGAAATAGTCCCAACATACTATGTTTCAGGCTAAGTTAAGAACCATTGTCACCACCCTCGTTTATTACTCCAGTTCAAGCCACTAAAAAAAGACAACTCTTTATATTACTACATTGATAATAATATAGTCAAAGAGATTACCATTTCGTGGAATTTCATGATGCCTCTTTTGTAGTAATCTTAGTTTGTAGCAAAAATTTCATCATCATCAAATGAAGAACCATCAACGATTAAAATCGATAACATCCGTCGCCATCATTTGCAATAGATTTGTCATTTACCTTTTTCAAATGGTTCAGTTGAACCAAAGATTTTGTTATTCCAATTCCAGTGAAAGAAACATATAAAAGAACAATCAAAAATTTATCAGATTTAAAATAAATTGCCAATCAAACAAACCAAGGGACTAAAAATAAAACAAATCAAAGAAATAGAAGCAAACAAACTAAACAAAAATATCGGAGTGTATAAACCTCCAACCATCAGTTGAAACTATAAAACTTTTTTTGCTCTTGGCGGATAGGATTTTCAAATCAGCTGCAACGTGGGTATGTGATCAAATCAAAAGCTTTTGTTTGGTCATATAAACTAGTGCTGGGCATTCGGGTTTTCGGTTCAGGTCAGTTCGGATTATTCGGTTTTCAGGTTATTCGGGTTGGAATGTTTAGGAACCAAAAAATTTTCGGATTGGATCAGTTCGAGTAATGTCGGGTTCGGGTCGGGTTTCTATTTTTTTTATAAAACCCAAAGTGGAACCGAATTAGAAATAGTTCAGGTTTGGTTAGGGTTTAAAGCCAAAAAACAAAAAAAAAGAACCGAAAAACCGAGTTAAATCCAGAAAATATTCGGGTAATTCGGGTTTTGGATATTTTTATTTAAAAATTATATTTATATATATTAAAACTAAAAATAATTAATATTTTTATTATATTTACAATATTTGGATACCCATTCGGTTATCGGTTCGGTCTGGGTTTAGTTTCGATTTTTCGGATTTACAGAAATAGGAACCTTTCGGATTTTTGTGATTTTCGGTCCGATTTCGGTATTGGTTTTTTCGACTCGGTTCCGGTTCAATTTTCGGGTTTCGGATTTAAAATGCCCATGACTAATATAAACTGTAGAAAGATCAATGTTTTCAATTTTATTTTTATTAATGAAATATTCTATATAAGAAATATTCTATATAAGAAATATTATTATACAAAGTAATTTTTTTTTTTTCATTTTCATGATACCATGTCATTAAATAGGAGAACTCACTACGTCTTCCACATTATTTGAAAACTCAAATTTAAATTTGTTTTTTCATGGACTTCAAATTTGCGTCTTCTAATATTTTGGTATGAGCCTCTGAACTAATTGCTATTGGCTTTTCAGCTATATACCTGATTTTGTTTTTCGTTTGAGTCTCTGCTATAACATTCTCGACGTCACATGTTCATACGACAGCCATAGCATCTCAGTTGTTATTATGTTCACCGATTATTTTCTGACATATCTTGTTGGAATCAAGCCCTGATGTTTTTTTTTGAATCATATCTGCTTATCCACGAAAGGAATCCAGAACTTTACGCAACTCAGTTGAAGTAAAACGTCTCCTTTAACGCTCTCATAATCTCATTAACAACAACACCTCAAAGCTTTACGTTATATTCCCGTTGTTTCAATAAAATCCATGTTTTAGAAAAAAGTATTTGTTTCAAAAAAATACTTTTTTATATTTTTATTGTATTAGTTAATGATAAATTGTAAATTTTAAAAATCTTAATTATGTTTATTAAAATTTTATTGGTTAAAAATTATGGAGAATTGTTAACTACAAAAAATGATATATTGGTAATCAAAATTTTTATGTTTTCTAAATATATGTGAGAAAACTTAAATATCCAACTTTGAAACAGAAGTAGCATTTACAGTCCTCCGTATCATACTCAGATCCTTTAAATGTACAATAAAATGTGGTATAAGCTGTAGCCGTAAAGATTATGATTTATAACATGTTGATTTGTTATTAAATATTGATTTATATTCCTGTGGTTTTTTTTACCACTATAATAATCAATAGCAATTGGATTTGTAGTTTTGGAGGTGCTATGAGGATTTCAATTGTTTAGGGAAAATAACTTTTGACAAAAAAAAAAAGGGAAAATAACTAAAACGGGTTTTACGAATTAGCTACCCCAGCAAAATGGGTTCTCTTCAGTGCCTCTAAACTCAAAAGGAAGGCAGAACTGGGGTAAAGTGAAAATGCTTTACAAAACTAAACCCAACACTATTAGTTGGTCCATATAAAACCTTCAAACGCTGAGAAGAGTGAAAAATTTATGAAAAAGTATTTTTTAAATCTATAGACTTAAGAAAAAGTTTCCTTTCTAAATATTTTCTATTTTAAAATCAATTTTTTCTAAAAAAATTGATTTTATTATATATATATATTGATTAAACTTTTAAAATTCATTACTCTTATTTGTTTTATTACATTATTTGGTGTGTATAAAATATATTTTATAAAATTTAGATGTGATTTTTAGATATAATTTTATTAAATCTCATCAAAACATTTATTAAGTGTCCAGAAAATATAAAAATACTTCCATTATATATAAAAACAACAGTATAATGGATTATTATACTATATAAAATGTATATACATATATATTATTAATTTATAATTTTAGTGGGATCATATTTACATAAGATTTTCTAATAAATTATTACGTTGTTATTTATTAATTTGTGTCATATTCTGAATCGATCTAATCTGAAATTCAAATTTTTTTATTAATTTATGATGTTTATTAATTCATCAAACATTAATTTATAAAGTTGCTGTTAATGTTACTGATAATTGATACGTGAGTGAGATGTTATAAGAGAATTCTTCACGTGTCTCGAAGAAATTATCGTACATTTCTGAAGCTAACTAAAAAGATATTCGACACTGTTACTCATCCACGAAGAGATGTTTTGTCTCTGATACTAGGTAAATTAATAAACAAAGAACAGCCCATTTACATTGGCTTCGTGGCATTAGGAAAGAAGAGATGCAAGAACTGATTGGATCCACAAATGGTGTGGTTTAGTTTCATGTCGCTCCAGATTTGTGTTTATTTCGGTGGGCATTACATTACACATATGAAGGAAGACAAAAAAAAAAAGCGATTTCATGTTTTATTTGAAACAAAAAAAAGGTCAAAGTTTGACCCAAACCGACCGAACCTAACTTGACCCGGCTCTACCTTATAAGCAAATAGTCTCGATCATTACCAGAGAGTTTCGCTTCTTCTTTAGTTCTTTCAAACTTCGTGTTTTCCACGCGCTTCAATGGCGACACCATCTCCCCTTCCTCCTCCTCCAACGGTGAATCTCTGGGTGATCTTATCAGAATCAAAACGGATAATCAACGCCCATTCACGTCACTTCCTAGCTCTCTCCCTCCTCTTCCTCCTCCCCATCTCCTTCTCCATCACCGTCTACCCATCCATCTCCCGCCTCATCATCAACCAATACTCCCCTTCTCACACCACCATCTCTCTCCTCCGCACCTTATCCCCCAAAGATCAACCACCAAACTCCGACGATATCGATCCCACGACCATCCTCCTCCTTCTGATCGCTTACATAGTCTTCGTCACCGTCTTCAACCTCTTATCCATCGGATCAATCACGTACAGTATCTTCCAAGGCTTCTACGGAAGGCCCGTGAAACTCATCTCCGCTGTCAAATCAAGCTTCACCTCTCTCTTCCCTCTTATCGCTACTCTCACCTCCGCAAACTCCATCGTATTCGCGATCTTACTCATTCTAGGGCTCGTAGCCTTCTTGTTGACTCGCGTTATCGTGCTCATCGTTCCAGATCTCGAAGTTGATTACGCTTCAACTTACTTTCAAGCACTCTCCGCCGTTGTAACACTCATCTTCATCGCGATCGTTATAAAGCTTTATGTGAACTGGATCCTTGCGTGGGTCATCGTTGTCGTTGAATCGTCTTACGGGTTCACGCCGTTGAAGAGAAGCAAAAGCTTGGTCAACGGCATGGAGAGTGTTTCTCTCTCTATGATCGTTGTCTTCAGTATAGCTCAATCGTGTCTTGTCTTGATCAGCAATATAACCGCTTACGACATCGAAGATGGCGGGAAAATATGGACAAATGCTGTCTTCGTGTTTCAGATCGTGGTGACCTCTGCGTTGCTAACGGGTTTGATGTTGTATAATTTGGCGGGGACCACTGTGATGTATATGTACTGTAAAGCTTTTCAGGGTGAGCTTGCTTGGGAGATTGCTGAGGAGTTTGCGAGAGAGTATGTGAGTTTGCCTTTTGATTATGATGGTAAAGGTCCTCACGTGGTATCTGTAGCTTACAACGGGTGATGGAGAATTAAAAGTCAGTGTTTTGAAAAGCAAGTGTTTGTCTGAATCGGACAGTGACTTCATGTTTGGTTTTGACATGTCTAAAAGCTTTTGTAATAATGTGTGAGAATGATCTAAACGTGTGGTTATTGAAACTTTTTTGTAAATGGTTAAAATGTTCCATTTTCTTACAAACATAGGTTATAGAAGAAGAAAATTACTAAAATGTAACCTGCAATGAAAGTTTCTATTTGTAGAAACATGTGGTGATGTAGTAATTATGAAACTAAACAGGTTCATTAACCAAAATATAAAGATTTCTTTTCTCAAGTGATTTGCTCTTCTTTAAACCTTAGACGTGCAACAGGCTGTTATTGATTCAAGTTAACCGTGGAGAGATTATTGTTTGGTCTTAAGACTCTTAACTGATGGCTGCTGGTTCTACCAGCTGGAACGTCATGGTTATGTTTCCCTTCATATGTTGTTCCTTTTCTTCTCGCACTACATGTTTCCTACATCCAGGTGTTATACACTTATAGTAGCTCAACAAAGAGCTTTATGGAGAAAAAGACCAATGAAAATGCAAGAACTCAGTGCCGGGTTTGGTTTTTAGTCTCACCTTGGATAAGGATTCCCTTTGACTACTTTTTGACCATACGTACGCCATCTATATCCATCATCTAAGAGATCAACTTCAGTCTTCGTTTGGACAATGATTCTAGGCTCTGTCGCGGTCCTATTTGATAAAGAAACTGATTCTGAAACTCTGACTTCTGTATTTCTGCAACAATTAAGAGATTTGTTTAAATCTTGTCAGAAAAATAAACAAACCTCATAAGAGAGAATGTAAAAGAAACAGTCATATCTCACTCTAACCTTCTCTTGGGATCAGGCTCATCTTCGTGTGTTCCTCCCAAACTAGTGTCTGCATTACCAACTTCCTCGCTATCACTTGCTTCAGACATCTGCTCTGTTGTTGTAACCTGACTTGTTTCCTGGTCTCTTTGACTCTTGTTGACACTGTTACAACTCCCGTTGTTGTTCCCACCACCCCGCTTATTATTTTGTGGAGGCTCGTGACTGTGCTGACCCTTGTAAATGATTTTCGTTACTTGTCCATCAACAGATCCCTCGACTTTCTTCTTGACAGGACACGCCTGATGAGTACATTTGTAATAACTCCGAGGAAAGTCACTACCTTTTACTTGCTTGATTGCTATATCACACTTAAAGGTATTCAAACTTTTGTTGTGTTCTTTTTGGATCCTATAAAGTTAAGATGTATGATTTTTACATTGTAAATTATGTTGAAAAAATTAAATGATATTAAATCTTTGTCACCATCTCTTAATTGATATCTCCAAGATAAGCTTACACGAACTTTCCTTTCAAATGTGTGTTTAATGTTTTGTGCTCAACAAGAGTGACCGACATATCTCAAACATTAGAAACACAAAGACTGATACGGAATGAATTTTTTTAAATAGCCAGGAAGTTTTGGATTTTACATTCACAAAATTTATTTGGGACATACATCATTAAGGGATTTAATAGGTCTATACAAAACATATTTGTAAAGACTCATCTCCAGATCCATCATTTTCGGCCCAAGGCATAGGCTTAATCGAAATGGCCGAAGGTAAATTCTATAAAACCACCACTTCTGCATTGTTTTCTCCACCTGCAATAAAAATTATAGAGAAAGAGTTAACGGAGAAAGTTGAGAAGAAAAGTGTCGTGTTTTGTAGAGGGAGCCTCGCCGGAGACCGTCGCCAGAGGCACCACGTCTCGAGTTCACGTCCAGCCTGTAGTCACCGCTCAACGTCCTAGATAACCACTGGAAAATTATACACTTTTGAGTTTAATTTCATTCGTTTAGTAAATCATCCATAACTCTCTAACCATTGAGAATATCGTGCATGCAAAACCACCATCGTGTTCCTCTCGTCGAGACGAAGCCGTAGCCGCCAACCACGCCACGACCGGAGCTCGAATGAAGTGGCACGTGCCTCCAGAAGATTCGCCAAGCACGCACATGCATTTCATGCGCCGTCGCCGGAAATCATTTCTGCCGCCAGCCCCCTAATCATCACTGGACTGCCGCCGGACCACTGCCTTAGCCGATAAGCCACCTTTGTCTTCGCTGCCGGTGACTCAGCCAACTCAGCGGATGCGGTGGTCCGGCGGCGATCCAGCGTCAGAGGCCATTTCCGGCGACGATGCATGAAATGCACGCACGTGCTCGACGAATCTTTTAGAGGCACGTGCGGCTTCGTCCGAGCTCTGATTGCGGTATGGTTGATGGTTACGGCTTCATATCGATGAAAAAAACATGATGGTGGCCTTGCATGCACGAGATTCTCAACGGTTAGAAAGTTATAGACAATTTACTAAACGGATGAAACTAAACTCAAAAGTGTATGGTTTTCTAGTGGTTACCTAGGGCATTGAGTGGTGACTACAGGCTAGACGTGAACTTGAGACGTGGTGGCTCTGGCGAGCCTCTCTCTACAAAATACAACACAACACAACACTTCTCTTCTCGACTTTGTCCCTTGACTCTCTCTCTATAATTTATGTTGCAAGTGAAGAAAACAATGCACAAGTGGTGATTTATAGAATTTACCTTGGATCATTTCGATTGGGCCTATCCCTTGGACCAAAAACGATGGACCTGGAAATGAGTCATTACGATATTCTTATATAGAATTTCATGTCTACAATTAGTTGAAAGAAAACACAAGAGATACTGTTCTCAAGGCCACTTTTATAGCAAATAACGATGAAAGATAAGAAATAGAAAAGCAGGGGTGAAAACAAGAACATGTTCTTTCCTCTTTTTTTCTTTTACCACATGGCTATTTCTTAATGATCAATTAATTTATTTCAATAAAATTATTAATTTCTCATTTTAATAGACTCAAGTAGATCTCGAGAGTTCATTCTCTATTCATTTATATGTCTTCTTGTAAATTATAAAATTTCTTTTATAGATGTGAGTTTACTCTAATACATATTTTTATAATAGAGTTTTATAGTTTTACAAGAAAATACAAAAGAATACATTAGAAATGTTCTAAAAGGGCCAAAAACAAGATCGCGATACAATTTTGTTTATACGAGTTATCCATCAAATTCATATTATTGTTTTTCTCTGAATGATTAGAGGGAATCATTAACTCTTACTAGATGCATAGTCCCCGCGCAAGCGCGGGGGTTAGATACATTATTGATGTGTTGTGTAGTTTTGTGTATGAGACTTTACTGTTTTTTTTTTGAACATTTGTTTATCTAGCTTATCTATAATGGTGATGAATGAAACATTAGAAGTCACACAACTTGATTAGTCTGATAAAAGAATAAACATCAAATTCATATGGGTTGATATTTTCATATTTTATCTTCGTAGTAATTTTATCGAGCATTCCCTTTATTAGTGATTTTATCGAGCATTACTGTTATTAGTGCTTTCATGTAAAAAAATAATTTAATGGAGACAAGACAAAAAAGGACATGTGTTTATTAGTGTAATTTTCTTTCTGAAATTATGTTGTATATATATATATATATTTTTTTTTTATAATTGTGATGTATGTGAGATTTATGGCCGATGTGAATGGTTTGGGGTAAATATTTATTATTGAAAAATATGTTTTTATTTTATTTGATTATTATAACTAAATTGAAATGATATTAGAGGTTAGAACATGATAACATTTCTTATAAAAGTATCTAAGATGGTCTCATAAAGTTTCAAATCCTTAAGCCATTTTGTATCCCAACAACCAGCATAAAAAATCATTCTGAATCTCCCTAAGTTTTTAGGTATCCCGAAAAGCCCAAATTAAAAAAAAAATTACATGCAAACACTGGGTCATTTCATCACTCATCGATAACATTTATCTTACAAAATGTTATAAGTTTTTTTTTTCCCTAATAACACACGTGGGACCCGTAAACTTGCTGAGGTGGATAGACTCAGGAGCCTTGAAAGTGTATCATTATAATATATATTACTCTGTTTATATTTGTTACATGACTCATACCTGACTTGAAAAATCAAGTATTTGACGTTGTCAATAATAAGTCAACAAACTATTACTTGCAAGTACATGTTAATTATCAAGTATCATCACTATTTTCTAATATTTTGGCATGTTACTTATTTCACTATTTATTACTCGTTCCAAAGTATGTATTGCCCATGGAAAATGTGTGTTTACTAATTATATACTTCTTTTAATACTAATCAAAGAAAAAGTAATACATTAAATTCCGGTGAGGATAGCCAGTAAAATTGCATAGAATCTTGAACCAAGTTTGAAAAAGATAAAACGCGACAATTTCTGATCATAAATCTGAAGCTTTTGAGATGAAACGAATGTAAATTTTAGAAAACCCATGATCTTGAATCTAAGCGATTCAGCCCTACACAAAAAAAAATGATATGGATACACGAGAATTTAAAAAGAATGAAACTTTGAGAACCTATAACCATTTATCAAATTCTTTCTTTTTAGATTTTAAATGAATACAATTAAATTTTATAAAAACCAATTTCTTCAAATTTCACGAACTTTTTAAATCCTTATATAAAAATGCACAACTAAAGAACAAAAATAACTTAGTGATGCAAAATAAGAAACCATAATCATTTCTACATAGAAAAAAATAAATTTATAAAGTGCAATAACAACTCTACTAACAAAAAATAATAATAATTCAACTATTTTAATAACACTATATAAAGATTTAGAGATAAGACTATATTGTAAAATAAAAAGTTGTTTCCTCTATTGTAATATGGATTACAATATTTTAATCATTCGTCAAAATGATGATAAATTTTAAAATTTATAATGAACATTATATTTTCAAATCTATCATATCAATAATTTTGATGTTATATCTAATAAATAAATAATATAAAAGTTCTCTTCAAATCCTAATTGAACCTTAAGAATTGATTCTTTGCATTTTACAATAATTTTCTATTAATTTTTCCAAATAAAATTACCATGAAATCTATCAAAAAATAATAACATGAATATTTAGGAGAACTATTAAATTAGTGTACTGAATAACATTTGAATTTAAAGTTTTAAGTAGAATGATTTCAAAAACATAATCTAACAACACAAGAGTTGTAAAGAATTGATGAAATATATAACTGAATAACAAAATAATTTAATGGAAACTTCAGTTCTTTCAAATTTAGTTAAGCTTCAAAATTGAATACATGAATCATTGTTCTTTTTCAAATAGTTCTTTTTCTTGACTTTATGTTATTTAATGACTCGTTACCAAAATAGCTAAAACTATAATTATTAACATTATGTAATTTGAAATTCATCTTGGTAAAAATGTTTGATATTCACCCGAAAATTTATATTTCTTTTTTTGGGTCGCCCAAGCTTTTTGGCAAACTTACTTTATAATGCAGAAATCCGTAAGTTTAGTATATAAATTGTGTGTTATAAATAAAATCGTAAATCTGATACTAATTTTAATGATAACCCTCCAATTGCAGGACTAGTTTGCATAGTTCATGCATCTCTTAAGCTAGTCTTAGTTTGGTTTCCCTCTTGGACATTTTCATTTATAAAACAAAATGCTTAAATTGGATATAGAATATGTATTCTCCAGATCTAGCGGCGAACATTTGGCTTTAATCATGATGCGTCTTTGGGTCCATCCTGGTTGAAGATAAAAGCGTCATGTATAGTTGAACTTCATATTTCAGTCTTGTCATCAGCGTTGCTCTTCGAACGGTTTGTGTTTGCAGTTTAGTTTCGGTGGAACAGCTGACTAGAAGCTCCCACGGTGACGCCCCAGTCGGTGAAGAGTGATGGAGGTCCTGTCCTCGGACACATGTATTTTCTGCGCCAACAGATCAACGCATGGAAGTGTTGAATGGCTTTGTCATCTTCCTCTTGGGCTATTTTTGTTGGGCTCGCTTGTGGGTATATTTTATACACCGTTAAAATCTATACTATTAAAGCAGAATCTTTCTTAGGATTATATTCCTGAATTTTCTAATTAATTACAAAAGTTGCCAAAACATTTTTCTATTATTTTCTATAGATTTCTAAAATTTAAAGCCCAATCAACTAAACAAAACAGCTCAATAATAGAAATAATTTATCCATCTAAAAACTATTGTCCAATTCGTGTATGTTTCATCACTGACCCATCTAAATTCGTTTCTCTTCTAACCCTATACCCTAAAAATCTATTCAAACCCTAACTCTATTCAAACCCTATTAACACCATCAAAAACATGTTATCCATTAAACTATACCAAATTTTCGAATGACATAATTTAATTTAATATTATTTTTCAATACTATTAGTTATAATATTATAGTATAGGGTTAGCATTTTTCGAAATCATTGACCTTTTAAACAACCATTAATATAAATATAAACCAAAT